TCAGAATGGTTATCTTGCTGGCTTAATTTCCTATTTGCTTATATTTTCAAGTTGGAATGGTAATAAGGTCTTAGCATAGATCATTTAATAATTTGGAGACCTGTAGATTAGTCTGCAGTAGTTTTGAAGGACAGGACTTTCAAGCACTGCTGAAGGATGTCTGTAAAAGCCCTACAAGAAACCCTTTCCACTATGAGGAAAATCATGGATGTTGCTCTGTCTCATTGGGCAAAGTTTGCTAAAGTCTTAAATAGAAGTTGTATATGTTTTCTTAAGTCATTTCCCTTTAAATTACTCTACACATTTCTCCTTTGAGGGGCTCCCTCTCATGCGGAATAGGCTTATTCTCAGAAGAATAAGGGGAAGGAAGAAAAATAAGCATTCTGTGTATAGAATGTTTTGATCCTACCAGAAAGAGGTAATCAGACAATGAACTACACAGGCATTTAGGACCTAGATAATACTTGTTGATATTTGTCACAACCAGCTTTCTATGTCCCCAAATCAACAAGGATAGTTAGTTAAAGCAACTAAAATGGAAAATAATGTAGGTGTTTATGACTTTAGAAAGTGGTTCCCTTAAAAACTAGAAACAGTTTGATATTTGTTTTTTCCCCTCAGCAATATTCCAAATGTAAACTGTGTCTTAGCACATATACATGAGTTCTAGAAAAGGCAAAATCAATCATGGGTGATAGAAATCAGATTAGTGGTTGCTTGGAAGTGGATTGCCTGGAATGGGACACAAGGGAATTTTCTGGAGTGATAGAAATGCTCTGTATGTTAATAGAGGTATGGGTTTCATGGGTGTATGAATACTGATCAACTTGTACTGTTAAGATCTGTGCATTTATATGAATTATACCTCAATTTTAAAAACTTTAAATACCTATCTTAATATTTCTCTATTATTTTTACATTTTCAAACTACTTTTCGTTCTCATAGGTAAGGTAAATGACCACTATTGAAATTCTCATTTAATTATTTCTGAATAAATTTCTATTGAGATAATTGATGTATAATATTGTATTAGTTCCAGGTGTTCAACATAATGATTTCATACATGTGTATATTATGAAATGATTACCACAATGAATTTTGTTATCATCCATAACCACACAGTTACAATTTTTTCATGTAATGAGAACTTTTAAGATCTACTCTCTTAGCAACTTTAAAATATACAATACAGGATTATTAACTGTTATCACCATTACAACCCCAGAATTTATCAAACTGGAAGTTTGTATCTTGTGGTCATCTTCATTCATTTCACCTACCTTATATCCCCTGCCTCTAAACAATGACCAATCTGTTCACTAACAGGGGTCCTCAAACTACGGCCCGCGGGCCACAGTGTGCATAGGAATTTGTTCATAATTTTTTTAAACTACCGTCCGGCCCTCCAATGGTCTAAGAGACAGTGAACTGGCCCCCTGTTTAAAAAGTTTGAGGACCCCTGATCTATGAGTTTAGGAGGGTTTTTTGTTGTTGTTTTTTGTGGGTTTTTTTAGATTCTACATATAAGTGAGATCATACAGTATTTGTCTTTTTTCTGACTTATTTCACTTTTCATAATATCCTCAAGGAACTAGAAAAGAAGAACAAACTCAGCCCAAAGTTTTTAGCTAAAGTCTTTAGCTAAACTCGCCAAGAAAAAAATAAAGGACTCAGAATCAGAAATGAAAGAGGAGAGGTTAGAACTGATACCACAGAAATACAAAGGATCTTAGGAGACTACTATGAACAATTATACACCAACAAATTGAACAACCTAGAATAAATGGATAAATTCCTAGAAGCATACAACCTACCAAGTCTGAATACATTTTTAGGTAAATTTTAGTAATGTTAAGGTATGTGTTGGTGGAGGAGAACATGAATATGGAGAACGTGGGTATCTACCCCCTTCCATCATTTTTCTTGGGTCAGAAATTATAAGCCTTTAGTAACATCCGTAATTTCCACTTTATTACAAAGGGACACATTTCTTTCTCTCTTTTAAATATAGAAGCATAAACAGGAGCAAGCTCTTTTTCTAAGCAGGGGGTATACAGGCTCTGTATGTTAATTTCTTTGTTGCAGAAACTTCTCAACCAATCTGTCCCGAGGTCCTCAAGCAATATAGGATAGCTGCTCATTAAATATTAGTGAAATTGGGTGGGATACACAGACCTAGGCTTGGCAGTATCTAATTAAGACCAATGGCCAATATAGTCAGGTCCCTTTTGCTCCTCACAGGAAGGAAAAAATCCTCTTGTGAAGCCATTAGGTCTTTGTAGGCCCCATGGAGGTTTCTCCCAATGATTTCTCTGCTATTCATTCATTCATGTATTCATTTATTTATTCCATATTGTAAGGTACTATGCTTTACTCTTTGAATGAATGAACGAATGTGTGAATGAATGAATGTAATCACTCTGGGCTTCAGTGTCCTCATTTTTATATGGGAAGTTGAACTGGAATATCATTGAAGAGGGATAGTGTGAGGGTGAGGATCATTTTTCTCATATATCCAGCCTAAATTTCACAGCCAAAGCAGCAAGCTATAGGAAGAAAAAGTATTGAACAGCCCTCACTGGTACTGAGGCCAGACCCCCCCACTGCCTATGGCGCCTGCAATGGAAAGTGTACCCACCAAGGGATGAGCAGTGTTTTTATTGTCTGCCCCTCTACACACTGTGTGGCTAATGATAGATCTGTGCTATTTCCCTGTTGGCCACTCCTCTCAGACTGTGCTGATAGTGATATAGGCATCTGGAGCTATGGTGAGGTTAAGGCACCCCTGTTTTCCCAGCAGGCAGCCCACCAATTCCGTACATCAGGAGCACTTCCTTCAGGGATCTCGGGCTGGAGCTGCTTATTACTGGGAATAGGAACATTTTAGATACCGTCAAACTGAATCAAATGGAATTGTCCCAGCTGCCCTTTGGTGTCAGGGATTATGCCAGAAACTGCTTATTTGTGGTCCATGCCCTTGGTTTTTCCCTCCTGTCCTGTGATTACAGGAGAAAGGTCATTTTATGGTTCCTTATTCAGGACAACCACAAAGGACCACATGCTACAAATCCTGTGACTCTTTATATTCAGGCTCATGGTGAATCTTCCTAATCATCCTAATCTTATAAAAAGTTCCTTGAAAGAATAATGTGTATCAGTTGACTTGGCATAGAAACATAGAATTATTTAAACTACAATGCTATTAAATGCCGTGATTTGGTATTGAATAGTCATTGGGACTGTTGTGCATGGATGCTGTTGTATGGATTCTTTCCAGAAGATTCTGTGATCATGCAGATATAATCATCACTCTGCAAGTCTATATTCCATAAATTCCCTAACAAATGCTCTAAACACCATTCTGACTGTCTGCATCCCACAGGCTCTACCAGCTTCCCCCTTTCCTGAATGTCTCACACCCCAACCCCTACTTGAATCTGTCTTTGCTACTCTAAGAGGCCAAACTTAATTCTGATTTCTTTTTTTTCTCAAGGCCTTCCTTTAGCATCCCAGATCTCAATGACCTTGATTTTGGGGAACAAGTTTGATTTGTGCCAGGTCATGGAATTTTCTCATCTATTTATCTTGCATTGTTAGTTTTTGGTCACATATATCCTCTCCCCTCTTTAAACCACATGCCCTTTATACCATGATAGAACATCAACTTCTTGAGGGGGAAAATGGCATGTCATGTCCTATACAGTTATGTGTCCCCAGACCCTAGTGTAGAATCATAGTACATCTATCTCTAACACCGATCAAATGTATTAATTGTCCTTATTATACAGATAGGAAAACCAGGGTTCAGTTTGGTAGGAAATTTGAATAAAGTAATATAACTGCTAAGTTTCAGGATAGTATGTGAACTGGGCTTTTCACTCAATATTATTTTATTGTTTCAGTTATTTCAGTTTTTAAATTGTATGTATTGATTGAGTAGGTAATGTTCACAGTGGTAAAAAAATTCAAAGGTTCTAGGTCTCTCTCTGTTCTACCACACCACTGGTGACTTAATACTTGCTTATTCTCAAAATGCCCTGTTATTTTCCTCCAAGAAGCCAGCTTGCTATTCTTACTTCTGGTGTTCTGTTAGTGGCTCCATAACAAAATTTTATTTAACCCTTTTCTTGCTTGTCCAGTTAATTGGTCACTAAAGACCAGCTCATACCTCAAAGGGCCTTCAAATCTGTACCTGCCTTCTTCATTCTTGCTGCTCCACCAGTTCCAGACTTCACTCCCCCACCAGATCACTGTAGTTTGGCTGCCCTTCCTTCACCCTATTTCAGTTCATCTCAGGGTAATCTAGGACCTGTCAGAAACCTCCAGGGAGTCCTTCCACCTTCCCATTGAGTTCTTAGCTCGGGGATTAACTGTTTTTGTTAGACTGTCTAGTTAGTTTCATAGTCTGGGAAGCCATTCTAAGTTTTTAGATAATGGTTTTAAATGCATAAAATTAAACACATAAGATTATAAAGAGAACCATTTATAGTGAGTAACTATAAAACTATTTTAAAAGCAAATTTTGATATAGTAACCTATGTGGAATTCCTTATTGTATGTAAGAAGTAATTTCTCATTAATACATTAAATAACAAGGTCTCCTAGTAGGTGTGACACTGCCACCATTTCCAAGTAGCAACGAGCACAAACGATATCTTGAGATACTCATAGCATGTATGATGTGACATGAGAACAACTGTGATGTGTTTGGTCATGAGTCACAGGTCCTTCTGTTACCTTTGTAATAAAAGGAAATTCCAAATTTCAAATTTGAGGTTAGTGAAAATAATTCTTTTCTACTGTGTTTATGCACCCCAAGTTAAACCCCCCTTTCTGAATCTGAATCTCAAGGCTCTATCGTCTGCTTTCTGGTTCCTTGTTAAAGTGTAAGCTTTGAGTCCTTTAGCTACGCCTGTGTGGGCTCTGCACTCTGCACCACACAGATGGGAAAGGAAACTAACCTGACCCCTGCTTCTCTGTTTGGTTCCCATCTGCACAGGTAGAAGAAGGATGGTGGGAAGGTGTTCTCAATGGAAAGACTGGCATGTTTCCTTCCAACTTCATCAAGGAGCTGTCGGGAGAGTCAGATGACCTCAGCATTTCCCAGGATGAGCAGCTCTCCAAGTCAAGTAAGGATGTCCCCACCACCATGCAGGAAAGGGTGGGGACACCAGCGGGTGGTACTTCTGCCTCCCCTCTGCTCTGTAGCCTATGCCAAGCAGTTACGACAAAAGCTCACAAATATATTTTGGTTATGCTGCCTTAACCCATGTGGTGTATTAAGTTTATCATTGTACAGGTGTGACCTGCATACCTTTATGTGTGTGCAGACGCACACCCTGTCTCTGGATTGGTGACTGTCAACATTCATGCCATAGTAATACTTTCTCATGGGTGACCCACGTGGCTGTGCCTTCATATACTTCTAGAGTGTCTGTCCCTCACTGCAAGTTGGTAATTATTTCTAAATGAAGCAAATGAGATTGCTATATTTCTCAGCATCCCTTGAAGAACTTGGAGAAGAATGGCACAAACATACACAAATCATTGGTGGTGAGAAGTCCTGTGTTTGGGACGAGTGCATGCCAGTTCCCTTAAAAGTATGATGAGACAGCTGAAAGCCTAGCCTCATGTTGGGTGAGCATGCATGTCCTTCTGCAATGGTGAGAACGAACTCCAGGTCTTTCTTTCTCCAGGGCCTGAAGCTCTCCTCCCTCCAGCTTCTCTGCTGCCCTTTCCAGCTCACGGAGCAAAAGGTCAGGACCGGGAAGCTTTGTTCTCCCAGTCGCTAACCCAACTTCCTGCGTGGGTGTCTGTGTATCTCTTGTGCCGTCTTGAGCCAAGGTCATGAGCATGAATGTCATGAGGTTTGACTGTGTCATAGTGGCAAGGCACTACCTGACAAGAGGAGGACAGCTCCATCCTGTCAAAATAATTGTTAAACAGCTTTCTTTTCCACTTGGAAAAATCTCTCTTGAGTGGAGTTCTCAAGTTAGTTGTGTTTCTTTTATTTAACCAGTAGCATGATTGCACAAGTTTCCAATTTGGAGGTAAAGCTATTTCCAGAGAGGTGTTCAGGCAACCTCCTTTACTTGGTGCCTCAGCAGCTCATCATCCATAGAAGCAGCAGTGCTGGCTGGTTGGCTCGGTGGCTTTAGCTACACCCTTTCCATCTACTTCCAAAGCCTGGGACCCCTCACCCCTGAACCCCATTTCTATCCTTGGATCTATGGTAGGAAGGTCACAAGGTAATTTGGAGCAAATGAAGCATCTTTGAGTTTTTGCTGCCTTCTCTGGCTTGGGAAGAGGGGGTTCTCTGCTAATATGGCTCAACTGATGAGTATGATCAGGAGAGCAGAAAGTGTCCTTGACCCCATGATAGAGTGGGATTTGCTTATAGCTCCCAAAGTACAGATTAGAATTCTAACTGCCTGGTGCTTTTTTTGTATACTGGAATAGTATTGTACCTGGTAGTTGAGTTCTATAATAACAATACCATACCTTAGGGATGTTGTTGATTAAATGGGCTTTTTTTTTTTTTTTTTAGGGAGGACCAGATTGGGTCATTATATCACTATTTCTGTGGGGAAGTGCATTATGAGTTCCAATAGCAATAATGTGCATAAAACACCTCACTCATACAAGGCCCGCCATAAATGGTTATTCTCATTGTTAATCATTATAAACTTTTGGTACATAATCAGTATTTTGAGGCTGCTTACACTCTGCTTGGTACCATGTTTACTGAAGTGTTGTCTGTATTTGGAAATTACTTGCGGATTCCTCTACTGATGCAGAAAAGGAGGTCGGGGGAGGTGTTGGGCAATCTTTTTTGGAGAACCCTGACCTCTTAGTATCCAGCCATGATTGTGATGCTCTAGTTAGTTTAGGTAGTCTGGGAAACCATTCTCAGTTTTGCCTCTTGTATTTTTGAAACTATTGAAATAAGCTGTCCTGTTACTACAGGTCAATAATATGGACATTTAACATTGCTCAGCCCAAAGCACACAGTGCTGGGATTTCTGGAGCAGGCAGGAGGTTAGGAGGCTGAAAGGAATGGTCTCCCCAGTCACGTAGCTTTCCTTCACATGCTTGCAAGAGGCTGCTTCTCTTGTAGAGACTGCCTTCCCCAAAGCTCACAAAACTCATTCAGTTCAAAGCCTTCCATTTCAGGACCAAGAGATCCCATTAATTTCAGCAGCCACATTTAGTTACCCTGGAATCTGTCCCTTGTTGAGGGGATTTCAGGTCCTGAAGAGCATGGTATTCTAAGAAAGGTGGATGCTTCTGGTAAGAATTACTTTTATTATATATATATAAAGAAGAGGGCCCATCTACCTATCTCTCTCTCTCTGTGTCCCTATCTATTCATCAATCCTTCCTTCTCTCTTCCCTTCTTTCCTCTCTTCTATTCATTCAACCTTTTTTTTGAGTCCTGTTGTTACCAAGACACTGTATAAGGCATTTAAGATATATAGAGACAAATCAAATCTCCGCCTTCAGTCAGCTCACATTGCAGAAAAGGGGTAACACAAATCAGCAGAAGTTCAAGAAAATGCCTCAGGTGCTCTGCTAGCTGGGTGTCTGAGGATACAAAGACTGAAGGCCAGCCCCATGGGGTTGTGGGGATGATGATGGTCACAAAGGGCTTCATAGAAAAGCAGTTGTGGTAATAATGTCCCTATGGTTTGCTAAATTGGAATAATCTTCTGAAAGAGAAAAAAAATAGCATCTGTCAGTGTTTGACAGGGTTTTCAGTAGCCATTTATTCTCTGATGTTAAAATGTATACAATCACATCAGGTCACATACAGAAATTACGTATACCAGTAGGGTTTGTCTAAGTGGAAACTTTGATTTTAGAGTGAATCTTCGTATTCCCTACCCTCAGGGAATAGTGTTAGTAGTTTTGATGTGGTTTGCTTAAAAAAAACCAACCACTTTTGGAATATTTATAGATTCACAGGAGTTACAAAAAACTGATTAGGGAGGCCCTGTGTGCCCTTTACCCAGTTTCCCCCAGGGATAACATCCTGTATGACTATAAAAATACATATTTATTGTTATTATAGAACTGAGAAAGACAAATGTAGTAATGCCCAAAAGACATCTAGCTTTTTATTGTGGTGTAAGCTAAACTGTACCTAATCAAGGTCTTTGTTAGATCAGACCACATAATACTCTTCAATTACAATTACTTTTCACAGAGATTACTTAACTGATAACATGGATCTGGGAGTAAGTTAAACTCCTAATGTTAGTGTCATTCTGATAATTTTTAGAGATCCTAATGGCATATAAAAATCCTCTTAATGTAAATGTTAGCAGATATTAGTGTGGGGTTTTAAAGACAGATGAAATCTTTATCCTGATATATATGAAGAAACCTTTGAGTACAATCTATTCTTGTATATTTCTTTCACACAGACAGACACACACACACACACACACACACACACACACACACACACACACACACTTGTGCACATACTTATTTGGTATTTGTACTCTTCACATTTCGACTTCCAGATAGTATTTAAGGATAGTTATTCAGTTGAATTTTGTCAACCAATGGATGAATGTAGTAGAAAAAAACGTTGCATTAGATTTATAAGGAAGTGTGCCAAGACATCTTGACACATGATAGGAGTTCACTGAATGCTTGCTGAATCCTGTCTTACTCTGAGGAGAGGCATTTTTATTTTTGAATGACAGGTGCTAATTGCTTGAGCTTGCTTTTCTTTTACCCTGATATTTTTTTGTTATGGTTGTTGGTTATGAAAAATCTCTAAAATTTCGATCTTTGTTCAGGGTAATTTAATCTATCAAGGAAAGTGTTACAGCACTTGTATTGGTTGATATATTGTTTTAAATATTTAGCTTGATAAGAAAATTCATTGTTATGTAGTAGCAGAAACTTTTTGCTACATAATTAAATTTGAAAACATCTCTACCTATAGAACCTTAATGGTGCTCTTTAAAAAGATTTTTGTAAACTTTTTTGTTTGTTTTAAGTCTCCTTCCATCACCATTTATCCACTCATACCCTTTTCTACATACCCCCATGATCTTTTTATTATAGAAAATTTCTAACATGTATACAAGTCTAGATAATTTTATAATGAACCCCTGTATGTCCTTCACCCAGCTTTAGCAATTATCAATATGGCCAGTTGGTTGCATTTATACCACTACACAATCCTCCCATGTATTGTTTTGAAGAAAACCCAGATATCATATAATTTTTCCATAAATACAGTCATGGGCTACATAATGACATTTTTGTCAATGAGGGACCACATAAACAATGGTGTTCTCATAAGATTATAATGGAGCTGAATGGAAGGATATGTAGTTCAGGACAATTTTTCTTCTTTAACAGGAGCACTATCTGTGGGGCATGGTAGTAGATTCTCACTCGTAGCACCTCAATTTTGAGTGTACCAAGTACTTCTCACTGACCTGTTTCAGCACAGAAGAGCCTGTCCCACCCAGCACTACATATTCAGACGGCTATACAGCCCTCCCATATTTAGTTTGGTGGTGTTCAGAGTACATGGCTGTAAATTCTTTGTTGAGGACCTAAGATCCTGTATAAGGACACAGGTCCATAGGAAATAACAGGCAGTAAGTGGCGCTGACACTTGAGTAAAAGCTTTCTGTGGTGGCGTGGGGCCAGCCTGGCCCTGCACTTTGTAAATGTTTTGGCCATGACAGTCCCCTATGTTCCTTTATCTCGCCATCTTGATTTTCTTATTCCTACTGACCCTCGGGGCACCTTTCACTCCCTCCTGACAGTCATGATGATGATGATCTAGGCTGTAGCCAGTTTCTCCTCAATATTTTCAGTCAGCCCAGCCCACACTCCTGTCCATGGAGCAGTATTGACAGCTTCAGCCGTCCCATTTCTGACCCTGTTGGAGGAGAGCAGAGGGAGGGCTAGTGGGACTGTGTTTATAAACTCTCCAGTAGTGGACAACAATGTCCTAGGCTTTCACATTCACTCACCTCTTGCTCACTGGCTCACCCAAAGCAACCTCCAGTTCTGCAATTTCCATTCATGTTAAATGCCCTATACAAGTGTACCATTTTTAAACTTTTAGACCAGTGGTCACCAACCTTTCGGACCTCACAGACCACCAGTGGTCCATGGACCACCAGTTGGCGACCGCTGTTTTAGACCATATTTTTACCACACCTTTTCTAGGTTTAGTTACACACATACCACTATGTTATAGTTGCCTATAGTATTTAGTAGAGTAACATGCTGTACAGGTTTGTAACCTAGGAGCAATAGGCCACTATACCATATATAGTAGGCTCTTCTCAATGTGGGCAAGTGCACACTATGATATTCACACAATATCAAAATCACCTAATTATACATTTCCCAGATCTATCCCTGTCATTAAGCCACACATGACTGTATTTCAATATGTATCAATAAAAGGGTGTCTTAAAATATTGTTATCGCACCAAAAATAATGGCAACTTCTTTAATGTAGTTAAATATACAATCAGTGTTCACTTTCCTCTAATTATCTTCTATTTTTAATACAATTTGTTAGTTTGAATCTGTATCCAAAGAAGGTACATACACTGTAATTTGTTAATATGTTTCAAGTCTCTTTGAATCAATTTTCCTCCTCCTTGTCTCTTTTTTTTTCTTAAACTGAGATCCTTTGTCTATTAGTTTCCCACTGTCTGCCTTTGCTGATTTCATCTCTGAAATGTCATTTACTCGATATACTTATAAATTGATAATTAGATCTAGGGGCTTGATTAAATTCAAAGTATATACATATGGTGTCCCCAAAAAATGTATACACTTAACAGCTCATAGCTCAATTTTGAAATGAAATGTATTTTAATAAGCACTGCCTTTACAATTATTCAAAGTGTGTGTATATATTTTTTTGGGACACCATATATATTTCAAAACTGCTTCATAAGTGGTAATGTATAGTCTATCTGGAGGCTCATAATGTCTGGCTGTCTTTCTTTTTGAATGTTAGTAATCGCTGATGATTATCACCCAGATCTGTTTATTCATTAGGGCTTGCAAAATGATGCCAATAAGGAATTTTTAAAAGGATGAAATGGACTCCGATGTGACTGATCCATAGTGGGAAAAATTTGAGTAAATTAGGTTTTTTAAAAATAAAACATCCAAGTGGTTACAATAATAGTGCAGGCAGAATCTTATGTTAGGAATGGAAGGGAATTTAGAGATCACGGTCTGCTATCAGATGAGAACACTAAAACCCAATGAAAGTAAGTCCTGGGTGTGTGGCCTGGCTTATGAGCGATGAGGCCATAGTTACATGCAGGCCTTCCACACACATTGGCATTGCCTCCATTATGGCTTGTATTCACCCGCTCACTGAACATATGATAAATTTAAAATCTCAGTACAGTTTAGCTTATTTCTTCTTTTTGTCCCAGATCATGATTAATTACCTTTTCAGTTACAGTTTTGTACATGCTAGTATTGACTAAATAATGTGAAATAGAACTGATTATAAATTATATTGATACTAGAGGCCTGGTGTATGAATTCATGCACCAGTGGGGTCCCTTAGTCTGGCCTGTGGGATCGAGCTGAAACCTGCTCTCCATCATCCCCCAAGGGGTCCTGGATTGCAAGAGGGTGCAGGCCAGGTGGAAGGACCAGACCAGTGCACGATCGGGGCCGGGGAGGGACACATGGGAGGTTGGCCAGCCAGGGAGGGATTGCAGGAGGGCTCTAGGGCGTGTCCGGCCCCTCTCAATCCCAATTGGCAGGACCCCAGCAGCAAGCTAACCTACCAGAGTGTCTGCCCCCTGATGTTCAGTGCACATCATCGTGCACATCATCGCGACTGTCGACCGGTTGACTGTCTGCCCCCTGGTGGTCAGTGCACGTCATAGTGAGGGATTGAGCAGCCTTAGCATATCATTAACATATTACGCTTTGATTGGTTGAACGGTTGACACTTAGCATATTAGGCTTTTATTATATAGGATTATATTATTATATCAAATTATAATCAGAGCATATCCTGAATCTATAAAATTTGTTTAAACTTAGAGGCAAAGAAATCCAGATATGACTATTGTTTAGTTTCAATTTCATACATATTTTCTTCACATTTAATATATAAATGTGTCATGTCTATTTCTAACATCCTTATTATATTATTTAATTTCTTAGGTTCTAAAATAACTGTCATAACACTGAAAAGTATTTGTTAGGTTTTTTTTTTTAAATAAAAGCCATCTTTTAGCTACAGAAACAGTTTCAGTTATTTTTTATAATTTTCAGAGAGGAAAAACTTTGCATTTTCTCTCTATAACAATTAACAACCATGAGATTTCAGCTTGAATTGACTTTCTTATTTTCCTTAATTCTTTAGTTTTAAATTTTAGGTCTTGATACTTTAGTGACTTGTCAAGCTAAGACAGAGATGGAGATGGCCTTTTAAAAGCTCAGGGTAAACCACCCCCATAATATACAAATACTGTATTTCATTAGCTATAAGAAATGGATTGCTCAGTGCCCCTTGCCTATAAAAAGTAAGGCCAGGCTGACAAATTCCACTCTGTGTCATCACTAGACTTTCTTTTCTTTTTAATATTAGATAATATTTGTTTTGTCTATGATTTATTAGCAGTGATGAGCAATTAGTAAATTGCTAAAAAAGAGTTCTAAGCAAAATTAGATACTAGCATAAGCATAGGATTTTGTGTTGAAATTTTAAAGTTCTTTTTACAGTGTTTGCTGCCTTCAAGTGCTAATATTTAGTAGTGGCTGGAGGGTGTTTCTCCCAATAAAACAAACAGCATTCACATTCATGAACTTTCCAGTTGCTTACCTCTTTTGCTTTTTAGATCAAATGCGTATCTCACCCACGCCTACCCCAGGCTCCATTGACCTTACTGCCAGTGCATGGGGAACTTTGCAGAAATGCTTGGCCATTCAGAGACATCAGGGTCATGGTCTACTTCAGTGACTCTCAGACTCGGTCCCGGGGAAGAACATAGGGAAACTCTGTTGTACTTGGAAGAACTTTACTGAAATACTGATTTCTTTTTCATATACTTACCTTTTCTGACACTGAAAAGACTTTTGGTTTTTTTTATTGTTTTATTGCTTAAAGTATTACAAAGGGTTGAAAAGACTGTTACTGTTCAGTTTTGGAGCTCACAAAATATCTGTATTCCTTAGGAGTAATTTTGACTTAATGACTGAAGTTAAACAGAATAAAAAATTTCCCAAATAAAAACTAGTCACTGTTACTTGCTCTGCTTTTGTCATCAAAGTCCTCAAGAGCTGCAAGTTTACCAAGAACATTTGAAACATTTGTTTCTTTGGATTATTCTTAAATAGCCAGTTATTTGAATTTCTAAGTGTTTGCCTTAGTTGGATGGAGCACATATATCAAAAAGGGCAGATTTCAAAACAAAGGTGTACCACCATGCCTGTAGGACATGGAAATTAGAAATACCTGATTCTACTTAAGTTGTTGGTCTGATCTTTCACAATCCCTTCACGTATTAGGACTGACACTATGGTTCCTATTAGGAGTTCCCGTTTTCTTAATGAGTATTTCTAAGAAGTGAGAAAAGTTGCTCTCTTCCATCTCAGTTCTTTCTGTCTCTCTGTAAGTGTAGCCAGCCTTTTTACCCCCTCAGACTTACTATAAAGCTGTATTACTGGTTTCCGGTCGATATTTAGCTTACAAACCATAATAGAGCTAATTTCTTGGGTAATTTAAAGTAATGCATTTATTAATAGAGTTTGCCTTTAGCAAATCAAGTTACCTGCTGGTAGTATTCTCTGTAGGGCATGTAAACACACGTAGGAGCATGCGCACGTGTGTGTGTGTGTGTGGGTGTGTGTGTGTGTGTGTACACAAAGTGGAGTGGCATATGTGTATGTTCTGTGTACTTACTCATGGTTCCACAGAGATTTGGGTTTTAGCCATGTGTCCAATTTTATGCTATTGATAACTTCTATTTTTAATAACAAAAAAAGAGTGACATTTGACAGTGGGTGAGTCCTATGTCCTCATGCTTGAATATACTAGTAGTCTCATGACTGATATGGTGAAACCTCAATTAAGATGTTTAAAGAAATAGGGTTTTCTGAAGTCCTTGGTGCTAAACAGAAAACCCCTTATATCAGGGGTCCTCAAACTTTTTAAACAGGGGGCCAGTTCACTGTCCCTCAGACTGTTGGAGGGCTGGACTATAGTTTAAAAAAAAAAACTATGAACAAATTCCTATGCACACTGCACATATCTTATTTTGAAGTAAAACAAAACAAAACGGGAACAAATACAATATTTGTATTTGCATGTGGCCCGCGGGCCATAGTTTGAGGACTCCTGCCTTATATCAACATGGATGCCACTATTGGTTTCAGACCTCACTGGTGAAAACCCCCCTCTAGTAAATTAGTACATTTTCTTGATTAAAGGTACTGAGGGTGATAAATATATTTTAAAGAAAATGTCATGCCTTTAGAATCTTGCAGTCATGAATATCAGTTTGTATCATGCAGGGACTTAGGGTTAGAAGATAAAAGATGATGGGCCTGAATCTATATTGTGCTTGGGTCATATTCTCCAAAGAGAAGATAGTGCTGTACAATTGAGTTAATTAAGGACTCCAATTAATTGGATTCATTCTGGTTAATTGAGGTTTGCCTATTCTTGAATTATAATGTTGAAATGGCTTCCAGGTTTAAATGGAGCATAATCTACATGCCAGTCATGTGCAGAGGCAAGCCCTAGTTCTGGGGCCTCATGATTGTGTATTGTGGTTGCATGGGGACTTTGGGCTCATTCTGTAACATTCTGAAATTTTGCCTAATGGTCTCTAATTAAGTTTGCGGATGAAGCTCTTGCAGTGGATTCATTGAAGGCAAGTTCAGTTAAAGATTCTTCCTCTTCCTTCCTTTGCCATCATTTGCTCCCCCTTCCCCCTTCTCTTGTTTTTTTCTCTCCCCTTCTCTTCTCTCATTCACTGTCAGGAAAGACTACCTTTGAAGGGACAATTCTGTACCGAGCTGCACCGGGAAAGACGGAGGGCCACAGACGTTATTACAGTGAGTGACCTTAACAGCAGGAGGCAATTGTAAAGATAAGATCTGGGTACTTGTGGTTTTTGATGCAGCTGCACTTTCCCGAGCTGCTCATGCTTCTGCCAAGTGTCTGTGAATTTCTGGTCCAAGGACATGGACTTATTTGTCTAAGATAAGTGCCATCTCCTTGGTGTATGCTACAAGAGCTTTCCCACCACCATCCCCTGGTGCTTTCTTGTTTGCTTTGTGCCTCTATCATGTGTGTGACATAGATGCATGAACCATGCGTGCAGAGAAGCAATCGGTAGCATTTGTCATGCATATGTATTTGTACCGGTATCTCTGGGCCTCGGGGGTGGTGTAAGATGGCTTCCTGTGGAGATGTCAACCACTTATGGTCATTGGAAACAAATAAACCATTTTTCCATTGTGTGGTTCAAAGAAATAAAAATTTGGCATGAAAGTCCATGCCAGAAATGATTATTTCGCTTTGCTCATTCAGCCAATCACCACACGGCAGACTTCTTTGGCTGTACCAATGTGTAGCCTTTTGTGTTGTGAAATAAAGCTGCCGAAAGTTGAGAGGAAGGAAATGAATGTGATTAATGGATTACTCTTGTGAAGCCCTTAGGACAGTTCCTGCCACACAGTAAGCACTATTCATGTGAATTAAACATAAATCAAAATAGCCCATAGGTCTGAATTGATCAGTGCTGGAATATTAAGGTAAATTACACAAAAGTGGACAGTTATGTGATGGGCCAAAGCAAATTTGAGGAGACTTTGTTCTTCTCCACCTTGAAGGAGAGACACTCACCTTAATGTGCATGTACACATATGCATACGTACATACATCTATGGAAGTTGAAAGAGAAGGTTCAGATGAGAACACCAAAATTGTGCTTCTCAGACTGTCTGTGGTGGAGTGTATTTTTATTTCGGTTCCCAGGTGGACAGATACCTGCTTCTGCTGTACATGACTTTACTGTGCCCACACTGCCCTACCTGGCTCTCACCGCAGGCATTTGATAGACTGAGATGGATCTATGCCTGTTCACCTACATGAATCCACTGCCCACATCTGGAAGTCAAACCAGTACCTCACTGTGTACCAGTAATGAGCCTTTCACAAACTGGCCCCAATATGCAGATGACACTAGGTTGTATTGCCTGAGAGTGTCACCTGGAGTTCTGAGTGTGACACAGGAACATTTTATAGGATAGTGTATGTAATGGGAACCAGTAGCTAAAAGATGCTGTACCAAACAGACATGAAAATGAAAATTCACCTTTTCCCCCTTCCAACCAGAAGGAACTAGACTTCACCAACCCAGGGATTCAGATATTTAATTTACATAGTTAAGGTTAATCGAAGCAGGCTGCCAGAATTTCTGGAAGAAAAATCTGCCGTGTGTTTCCTTCCCAGTTCATGCTTGTGTGGTTGAATGACCATGCAATCTCTCCCTGTGTAATATAAAGAGTATTTCTCACAGTGGTTAATATAAAGTTATTAAGATGAGTCTGGAAGTCAGCAAATTCCTGAAACCAGAAGCTCTGTGAAATCAGGATGGCAGTGATTGAAAATATTATGGTCCTAGCTAATGAGGAATTATAGAAGAAGCCTTCAAATTTTTCTTTTTGAAGAACTAAAACAGCCTTGCCCTAATCCATTTGCCCCAGCTGCCTTCTGGTGGTGGTGGGTGTGGGGGGTGGGGGTGGTTGTGGTTGGGAGGATGGTGGTGATGGTTTCATTTCACTAACCATTTCTTTATTCTACCCTCAAATGGTTCTTTCCAAACCAGAAGAGAATATATAAGCCATTTATCACAAAGGAAGAATCCATACAGTAAAATGAGAACATTTTACAGGGGAAATTACACACACATCATTTAGACTCAAAAATTATATCTCCAGCAGGGATATTTCTAAAAACAATAAACAAATGGATTGCTAATCCAGGGGATGTCCATGTTTGCACACTCAAATCCAGCCCTGTAACTTGCACCCGACCCCTTGTCGTGGGCTATTCTCATTGTTTTGCCCTCTTTTCTTCATAAGTGCTATTCTTTAGTTAATTAAAATGTACCCCATGGATCTTCCTCCCCCCTCCTTTTTTGGCTTATAAATCCCATTTTATTGAAAACGGTGCCAACATGCACAGCCATTGTTTTAAGGATTTGATTTTGAAACTTGTTAGCAATTTATAATGACCTTTCTATATTTTGTCTGTTTTCATTTAACAGTTTCTTCCTGCACTGAGACTTCTTTATTTGAATGACTTCAACATTTTATGACATTTTATGTGAGCAATTATTTGGTGTATCATTCTTATGTACTAGGAGACCACCTTACCTATAGAAAGATAATGCACGATTGGCTAATAGAGAGCAAAATTTGATGGTGTACTTTCATTCCAAGGGCATGGTTGTCATCAGGAGATATATAGTAAATGTTCAGGAGCTATCCTATGCATCTAGAGCAATGGTTCTCAACCTTCCTATTGCCGTGACCCTTTAATACAGTTCCTCATGTGGTGACCCCCAATTTCATTGTTACAAATTGAACATAATTAAAGCATAGTGATTCATCACAAAAACAATATGTAATTATATATGTGTTTTTCGATGGTCTTGGGCGACCCTTGTGAAAGGGTCATTCGACCCCAAAGGGGTCGCGACCCACAGGTTGAGAACACTGATCTAGAGGCTTTTAGAGACAGGTTTAATGGCATACTTTAGTATTCCATTAACTATCCTTTGAATCCTGCCCTTTGATAGCATCACTGATGTACCAATCATCAAAGTAAGAATATATACCCAGAAATTAACTAGAAACAAATAGGCTCTTCCTTTTAGGAACATGGTTGTGGGCAGAGCCTGGGGAAAAAAGAATCTGGGGAGGTAAGTGTCCATGTTGTCTTGCTGATAACTATCTTGTGACTTCCAACACATGCCCCAAGAGGTCAAAGGAAGGGTTCTTCTTTGGAAAGGAGTTCAGCATTGGAGAAGTGATGGTATTAGAGGGAAGATGAGCTTGGGGGATTCTGGCCTTTGGGAGGGCAGCTTCCATTTTCTCTTTAACAAACACAATCATCTTGTCAGTCTCAATGTCAAGTTTGGTTTAATGCTTTCCTAGAGAAACATGTCTGTGTACATTTATTCCTTGTGAAGCCATCCAAAGAGATTTAATTCTTTAGCAGTCATAATTTTGTGTGATTTCTTTAATTGCTAATTTGTTTAAATGGCTTTAGCTTTACAGTTTCCCTTTAGGAAATGTTACTTTCATTGCTAATTGCTAATTGACATGAGTCATAGAGATTGGAGATACAGTATGTGGTACTGAATGGGCAGGGAGGTGAGGAGGGGCGGGAAAAGTTGCTATTGCACCGACTGTAGCAAAACACATTTGAATAAGAACCAGGCTCTGGCTGAGCAGAGGTAAAATGTCACATTTACAAAGAGATCATCTTTGAAATGAGATTTTCTGCAAGTGTTGATTCACTTTGTAAGATTAAAGGGTGAGGCAGAGATATCAAACAAAAATCAGAGCTACCCAAACCAACATATGCAACACTAAATGAAAAAACCCAAGTGCAAGTTATCCTGTACCCAGGAACAATTTTAGTGGTGGTTCCTGGCTGGCTGTGAAGAGTTTCATGGCTATGACTGCTTTTCTGAGCTATTTCTCTCCTGCTCCCCCCTCCTCTTCACAGGTTTAAGGGAAACCACAGGCTCTGAGAGTGATGGAGGTGACTCGAGCAGTACCAAATCGGAAGGTGCCAATGGGACAGTTGCAACTGCAGCAATCCAGCCGAAGAAAGTTAAGGGAGTGGGTTTTGGAGATATTTTCAAAGACAAGCCAATAAAGCTGAGACCAAGGTCGATTGAAGTAGAAAATGACTTTCTGCCGGTGGAAAAGGTACGTTCAACAGTTTCTCTTTCATTTCAACTTAATGTGGAGTATCCAAAAGTCTTTGTAGGGTATGGTGTCTGAGATGTCCTGCGCCTCCTTTGGGGTTCCAGTGTTCTCAAATACTAGCCGCTCCCCTTTACACATAATCCCTCTGTGGAAACAGCTTTCCTCCAAAGGCTCATGCTTGAATTTGCTGCTGCTTTTCTTTTTATTAATTTAAATATTATTTTTCAATTACAGTTGACATTCAATCTTATTTTGTATTATTTCAGGTGTACAGCATAGTGGTTAGACAATTATATAATTAACCAAGCCATCCCCCAATAATTCAAGTATTCATCTGGCACCATACATAGTTATTGCAATAGGTGATCAGTGCTTGTCATAGCGAGCAGTTGAGCGGCCTTAGCATAGCATTAGCATATTATGTTTTCATTGGTTGAATGGATGACCATACTATTAGCATATTAGGCTTTTTTTATATAGGATATTCCCTATGCTGTACTTTACATCTTAGTGACTATTCTGTAACTACCAATCTACTTCTCAATCTCTTCACCTTTGTCTCCCAGTCCCCCATCCTCTCTTCCCTCTGGCAAGCATCAGTCTGTTCTTTGTGTCTATGAGTCTGTTTCTATTTTGTTTGTTCATTTACTTCATTCTTTTAGTTTTACCTGTAAGTGAAATCATATGGAATTTGTCTTTCTCTGACTGGCTTATTCCACTTGCTGCTGCTTTTCTTACTGATCTCCTAGCTCTGGAATGTTTCCCAGTTTGACTTTTCAAATGGACCAGCACTTCTTCATTTTTCTCCCCAGAGAAGACCCTTATGCCTAGACCCAGCTAAACAGATGGCCTTGATATTTTTCAGGCAACCCCCAATCTCTCTCCTCTACTTGTACATTTCTCTGATACTTTGTGCTTGGAGGTGTTGCCTGGTTCTGCAGTAGAGGAAAGAGGTTGTGCATTTTTTCTTTAGGAGCTAGGTGGGAATGATTTCGGACTGCCTAAAGGAAGTCTCCCGCATGTGTGAACGATGGTGACTCCCTGGGTTGTTACCATCAGGAAGCTGGCTTTTTCCTTCTGCCTTTGGTTCTGGGTTGGCGTTAAACACTGTGTTGCTGCTGAGTACGCGGTTGCCACAGCAACACACCCAGAACCATCATACTTGTGGCTGTTAATGACGTCTACTGTGGTACACTTCTAAGCACCATAGCCTTGCTTAGGATTTGATAAATACGATGGAATTTTCCAGATTGTAATAAGCTACACTTGTGCTGTGCTTGAGGAATGTTTGTTAATTTGATTTAGTGCTGAACTGTTTGCTTTGATGTTTGTGCCAGCAGGCTTGAGGGATAGGGCATTGGCAAGATTTCTAATGCAGGTTTATTGGTAGGTTTTAAATATTGTTCATTTTTCGATGAGAAGAAATTTTTAAAGTTGCATCATCTTCTGCAGCTGTAGAACTTTCATCCACTTCCCTCCCCACTACTTCCCAGCAACCATGCCTGGTGTCATGCATTAGAAACAGAATCTGAAAAGGAAACTTTTGGACATTTAATACCATCAATAGATATTCACCTAATACCCTATTAGAAGAAGGTGGAAAGGGCAGATGTTTAGAAATGAAAGACTTTCATTTAAACTCTTCTTTTGTTGAATTTCACTAAGCCAGTATTGTTTCTTTAAGTAATCAAGTTCGTAGTATCCCAGCTTGTGAGCTCATTTCAATTTCACATGGTCACTTTGAGATTCCTGTAAATATTTACAAAAGAGCAAGTTCCCATCTTGGGAAGGAATGATGTATGCAGTTTTTCTTCATTTCCTTCTAGTAATTGAAATGACCCTGACCATTGACTCAATGCCCTTCCCTCACTTAATCTATCCCAGCCCCCTTTCTCTTCCTTAAACCTGCCACACACACTCCCACTTGAGGACCTTTGCCACAGAGTGCCTGGACACTCTACTTCCACCTGCCCATCCAG